TCCTCTCATTTACCGGTTTATCCTTCTGCGTCCGTACCCATTGATCAGCATTCTGAGAGGCCCGTGCCGTAACTGCAGCATAGGTCATTCTGTCCAGGCTCTGATCTTCCACTACTCGATCCTTGGCCTTATCTTCGACAACAAATGATTCTATAACTGCTTGAAACACGCGAGAGATCGCTACCCATCCTTCTCCATTACGCCCTTCAGGTACCATCACTACACCCTGTCGCCGTCGCTCCCCATACTGCGCTATTATGAGATATCTTCCACGATTGTTAGTACATCATTGTGCCAAAAATGCTTGGGAGGTCTCATTAAATTTCGCTTCAAAATCCTCCGGCACACTAGCCATCCTTAACTTATCCATCATATTAACCATCCACATAGCTCCAAATCTTCCCATGAGAATAGCATTGGAAATTAGATCTTCATTCTGATATCTTAACCATGCCTGAATCAGTGACAGACACAACAAATTGTTTTGCCTCAATTCTGAAACTGGAGCTGAAGACCCAACATGCCATTAGGAACTCTCTGTCTCCCTAGATTTCGTGCAACCGAAGCATCATACGAAGAAATAGGATGGTTATTTGTCTCTGGCGAATTTTGCATGATCTGAGCTCTCACCGGCGGCGGCGCGTGGCCGCAAGTGCGTGCCCAGATCGGCGCGTCCACTGCGCCGCCTCTCCCCCGTGGTTGGAATGCCCTGACCAAGTCTCCTGTCAGGCGCGTCGGTCGGAATTCTGGCCGAATCTTGAGCCATCTGGGCTCGAATCCTTGGCCGATTTTTGCCTGTCAGCACTCGCCAACCGCCCAAGTCGCCTCGCCTGCTTCAGAGGTGGTTGGGTTGTTGGCCAAAATAGCAGATCGGGCGACGGTGCTGGGGTTTACACCCAGGGCCGTCGCCTGCGATTGTGGCTCGTTTTGTGGCGTGAGGCCGGTTTTGTTGGGTCCACTGGGCGCCTGCGATGTTGCCGGTATGGTGGATTTGGATATTAGGGAGGGATGCTCCATCCCACAGGAGCGGGTTCTTCAACTGGGTCCTTTGATTAACTTATCTTCCTTTGATTAACTTATAGTGGTCTCTTTGAACATATCATCTTCATTGGATGCTGCATTGACCATTTCTCGAATATGCTTTCTTATTCGATCTCTCTTTCCCTTTTAATGGGAATCCCCTTAGATGCGCTCATTTTTGTCACTCACTTTATGAGCATGTTCTGTTAATCCTAGAAACAAGTGAAATACGTAACTTTAAAGTTTAGCTAAATGTAAGCCTAAGATTAAAACTTAATCCTAAATGCAATTTCTCTGATCTCTCTCTCCATGTGGATACTCTTCATATATAAAAACAATAATCTTAGTAAATTCTTTTGACTTATTGGAAACTATATGGAAGTAATAAAATAATTAAATAGACAAATGATGATTATGCCCTTCCTTGGGAAGAATTTATAAACAATTTAATTTATAAATATATAGAATTGAGTGATCGATAAATGGATAGTACTCACAAGTGGATAATACTTGTGAGTCCATTGGAATGTGTTGTTGAAAACGAAGTTTGATTAATTTATAATGATTTATAAATTCTTCCAAACAATATAATATAATATGTTAATGTATGCTCAATATAATATAGTATATGAAATAATGTAATATGTTTATATATGCACAATATAATATAATATTTGATATGCAATAATGGAATATCAACTGTATAATGTGAATATAATGATATAAATGAAAAGATAATATAACGTCCCGACCTCTATATCCAAGCTGTTAACCTACTTAGTGTCCGAGTTTAAGCCCATTTTACCCCCGCTGGATTTCCGTCGCATCCTTGGGACTTGACCTTTCCCTCGAGAGAGACTTAAGTTAAATCTTGATACCAATTGGGTGGCTTGGGCACAAGGTTCGGGTCGCTACAGAAAATGTAGGTTTTTTAACGACCCGGGCCTTTGTGTCTCGCCTTTTCTCTTACGTACTGTCCGCTGTGTTAGAACTCGAGTCCATCTTACTCCTTAAGGATTTCTATCGCATTCTCCAGGATTCAAACTTGAGATCTCTACATTGTGAGAGATTTACGCTGAAATTTGTCCCATTGGTTCTAGGATTCAACCTAAGGCTCATAGGCAGGTCTTAGGTTCAAATCCTGGAGGACGCCACACAAAGCCATGAGGGGTAATATGAATCCTCCCATAGCAGATAATATGTAAGAACTTTCTGGCACGAGACTTGAGTCATTACAAAAAATGCGCATTTTTTGAACGACCTTGCCTCCATGAATGAGCTGCTAATTTACGTACTGCTCGTTGTGGGAGATCCTGAGTTCATCTTATCTCTTACAGATATTTGTCACGTCCTTAGGATTCGAACCCAGGATTTTTTCCTCGAGAGGGTTCAACTTAAGTCTCACTTAAAGGAAATTTTAGAAGTTCGAATTTTGGGGATGTAATAGAAATTTGTGAGGGGACAAGAGGGCACATATGGCCTCCCAAAGTGGACAGTGTGTATTTTCTAAGGGCTTGGGCACGAGGTCTGGGTTGTTATAAATAACACATCATTTGAAGTAGTTGCAGTGTAAAGTAATGCGTGCATGGTTAATTTAAAATAACATATCACGTAATGTGAATTGTGTTATCCATGTACTATTTCTGTTAAAATGCATATTATTTGCAAATAATATACATATTGTTAATTCATCGTAATACATGTGAATTTCATTATCCAAGTAATCTATAAATTGTACTATAAACACCACACATTCTTTGTAAACTAATATATGAACATTATGTAGCGTGAATTACGTTATTTATGGAACCTGTAACAATTTGTGCAGCGTAAACTTAATATGCATTAATTGTTACATAATATTATTAATATTATGTGAAGTACTTTGTCCTTGTAATATATAATAATATTTGTTTTGTAAACACAATACACATTCTCTAGAAAATGGTGTTTATATATAATGAGGCAGGTAGTTACACAATAATTTCTTGTGAGAAGTCTGGAGAAAGTTGAAAAACCACTTTGTAAAGTGAGACAGTGAAACCTCTGTTTAAATACGGAGGTACGAGGATGAGGTATTGAGTGGATATCTGAATTGATCCATTGCAGAGTTACCAGTATGAAGCCCTTAGTTTTAGGGAAAGAAATTAGGATTTTTATTTTAAGGATGTTCTTGTATTTGATTTATTCCTTACTTTAGTTATTAGTTTCTGGTCTGGGGTTTTTCATTTTCATAGTTTTGTAACTTTCTAGGAAATTTTAAGCATTAATAGGACTATGGTTTTTGATTTACATGGAGTATTGAATGTTGATTATTGAGGTTTGATGTTTCCTCCAATTATTCTCACTTGTCTCCTCCCCCCCCGCCCCTTCTTTTCTCTTCTTCCTTTGTTCTTCACTCACTTCTTCTCTATTCTGTTCAATATACCATAATGCCTCAAGTGGTATTGTCATCAAAGTAAATGAAGTGGTAAAATTCATGGCGTTCTCTGTGGAAAGGAACGGATACACTTGTGCTGTTCACAGATTAGTTATTTTTTCATTAAAAATAAAGAAGTATATTGTTTGTCAAGAAAAATCTCGTCATTATTGATTCGTCCAAAAAGAAAGAAAAAAAAGTTCCATTATTATCTTATTGGTCACAATAGAGGGTCTTGTATTAGTCCTTACTAGCAAAAAAATAAAGAAAGGTGAGAAAAAGAGAGTAAGACAGAGAACAAAAGAGCAGGAGAAAAACAGAGAAAAGAATGCTTGACCAGTTGATGTCATTATGGATCATAAAGACATCACGTTGCCATTCGACGTCAATATTTTGTTCGAAGGAAAGATTCGCTTCCCCTGGGGGAGGTCAATATAGTGTAGATTGCAAAAATCAAGTTCTCTGAGTTGGGAGGAATGGTGGAGATCCTAATATATAGTATGTTGAAGAGTTACCCATATTAGCCAATTCTTTTAAGGAAAAGAATTGGACTTTGTTTTGGAGATCATCTTGTAATTGATTAATTTTTCCTTAGTTATTAGTTCTAAATTAAGTAATGTTCAATTTTCATATTTTCGTGACTTTTGATTATGTTAAGCATAAATGGGATTTGGGTTTTCAATTTACATAAAGGATTGAATCTTGATTATTGAGATATTAACATATTCCTTAGTTCTTCTCGTGCATCTTCTCTGTTTCTCTCTCCTTTCTTCCCTCTAATTCTTATCTATACTGTTGTGTTCACTATACTTTACTATGTTCACTATACTTTACTGCTTGAGGCTTCTTGTGGTTTAGTCCGAGTATTATAAGTTCATTCTGACTTTCTTTTGTTTAATAATTAGATGATCATCTTATTATCAGTTTTTGTTCTGCTTCTGTTATTAATAATATTAAGTTTCTTAATAGAAAAAAAAATAGAGCTTTCAAATTGAAAAAGTTATGGATATCAAAAGGAGTTCCTTCAGAGAGTATTAATGTAGAGAAATATGGTGCTGTACTGTGTGACTGGCCATCTGAACATGCCCATCCTACTTGTGGAGTTGGCTTATTATGAATGAGTGGTTAGGTTTCTCAACATTTGCTTGCTTAGTGGTAGACTTGGGAATTGGGCGAGGTTTTGGCCATATGGTGGTGATGTTGCATCAAACTAGTTTTGTAAGTTTCTTAAAGCAGATAAGTTCAGTCGTGTGGCTGATATTGTAGATGGAAGGAAGTTGTAGACTTTTTTAAGAGAGCAAGCATTTGAAATATTGGAAAAAGGCAGAATTCATGGTCCTGTACTTTTAACTAATTATGGATGTTCGTTTTCAATTTGGAAGTACATTCTTGATTTTTGGTTTAGTGGATAGAGGATCCACGAATTATGAATATACTCCTTTGATTAATAAAAATTTCTTTTGTCTTCAAAAATATTTCACCTTTGAAGAAATTTTTTTTTATTTTTATTTACGATAGTATTTTATATCCTCAACTGTCAACTGTTGTATTCTATTTGTAGGTGGCAGTTAATCAAGCTCCAGGATCAGGTAGAGCAAGAAGGGATGCTGCAGCTCGTGCCATGCAGGGATGGCATGCTCATCGTCTTCTCGGCAGTGGAGAAGTTGCAGATCCCATCATTAAGGTACATTAAGTAAGTTTAATATGTATATATTCTCTCTCTGTTGTCAGTTATGGCTTACCTTTTCCTCTATAAGAACTATTACAACATTTTTTATATTTTGTAGGACAAGAACGCAGTTACCACTCCGAAGAGAGAAAAACAGCTAAAAAACATTGGTATGATACAATCATTATGGTAGAAGCAATAGTGCGCTCCCTTCTTCCAAGTGCTTTGGAACTTGAAATTTTATTTTTCTAATTCTCGATGAAGGTTTGCTGAAGCGTAAAAGGCTATCACCTATTGAGCATGATGTCAAAGTCGGTCACATAGCATCAAGATCACAGTTAAGATCTCTAAATTTTAATCGCTTTGTTTTTTCGATGTGCTGATTATTATTTTTATAATTTTTGACACCACTAAGCAATTTCCATACGGATGGTACTAGAAAATTCAACTTCAGTGTTTCACAATCAAATAATGATATATGGTCATAGAGATAACTGTATAACATTAGAATTAGAACAGGATCTAACAATAGCAGCTCAATTTGTCTTGCAACACTCAAACCACAGGAATTTTAACGAGAGGACAGTATAACTTAATGATGTATTCTATCACAACTACAATTAATAGTTTCCTGCTACAATTATGATTCACATTATCTAATAGTTTATTTTTTCAATTATGTTTATCTATTTAGTTTTCTTATATAGTTGTAATAGGGCTTTTATCTTTTATTTGATTAGGATTTTAAGTTTTAATTAGTTTCACTAGAAGTATTAGAAATAGGGAATAATCTTCCCTATAGATATAGATGCATTGTACACTTATCATAACATCAATTATTATTCAATCAATCAAAGCAAGTTATTCCAATATTCTTTTTAGTTTATTACATAATTCTTATTACAAGAATTTTATTCTCTCTTCCACACCAAATTGGTATTAGCAAAGAATTCAACTCAATCTGATTACCGACGACGGTTTGAGTGGCGGGAAAACCGTCGACAAAAATTGAACGACTAGAAGGGATGGATGAAGCTCCTTAATGTAGGCTTAGCTTTGTTCCACTGCTCATTTCTATCTATTTATTTATCAATTAAACCATTTACAATATTTTCCTTAATGGAGGCTTAGGATCTGTTTTTTTCGTGTTTTTTATTTTCAATTTTGAGTTTTGAATTCATTTTGAATTTTGTATTTTGAGTGTCTATTTTGAGATTGTTAAAAACGCGTTTTTTTTGTCATTTTGAAATTTGTTTTCAAAAATAACAAAAATGAAAAATGCGTTTACTTTTTTCTAATTTTGAAAAATTGGAAAACGGATTATATATATGTGTGTGTGTGTGTATATTTCATTTACTTCTAACAAAATGAAAAGCAGTTACCATTTTGGTTAAGGCATTGAATTCCATGGTGGTGACCCGGGTTCAAATCCAGCCACCTACCAATTTGTTTAAAAAAATTTGTTTTGTGCATTAAAAAAAAAAAACCTCCTTCGTATTGAATTGCACAGAAACATAATTGAACCCATGATCTCAAGAAATCTAGAATTGAACCCATGATCTCAAGAAATCCGTGACTCAACCAAGCCATCTCACTATTTGCAAAATAACCCTTTTTTGCGATTTTGAATTGTTATTTTCTGTTTTCTTGGTAAATTTGAAACTTGTTTTTTAAAATTCGTTTATGAAAATAGGTAAGTAAACGTGTTTTCAGTGTTTTCGAAAATTAAAAACTGAAAATGACCTGAAAACAGTAAAGAGAACAGATCCTTAGCTTTGTTCCAAATAATAATCAAAACTAAATACCTAAATATTCTCGATTTGAGAGCCAGTTTAAAACCTTTTCACATCTCAACATCCTAAAGTGAGTGCTTGCATGCACAATTATCTTGGAATAACAGGGAAACCCACGATTTTCCAAGAAATGATCGAGACTTAAGTTAGAGGTTAAATTTCAATCATTTCCTTGTTCTATTAATAAATTCAGCCCTTTGACCTGTTAGAGAACTCACAATAGAATATATGGTTTCTCATAATTTAAATATTTGAGAGTTCACATGTAAATGATTATGTAAATTTTCTTCCCACTCGTTTGTCAATTTTTACATTTTGGTGGGGCAGTTCGGAGGCAATGGTTGTGGATATTGGGACCTCTGCTGATTGGGTGAAGGTCAATGTTCAAAGAACGGTAAGTCTTATCTTGAACCTGTCATCTTGAGCATTATCTTAATGTGCAATGCTGTCTTACACACTGTTTATAGAGATTGACTAACTTAAATTATGTGTACAGAAAGACTGCTATGAAGTCTATGCTTTAGTTCCTGGGCTTTTGCGAGAGGAGGTAAGAGAAAAGTGTTATTTTCCCATTATTTCCATAGTTGTCTGATGTAAAACAGTCTGTTTCAAATTGTATTTGCAAATGAAGAAGATATCATTTAGTTGAAGAGCTTGTTCTGAACCATAGTCCCAATAGCAGTTATGTGGTGGTTGCTTGATTGAAAACCAACAGTCTCTATTTCTGCAACATAGAAAAGAAAGTTACACGAGCAAATGAAACATCAGTTTTGAACAATCATAGAAAAGTAGGAGCAAGACTGGAATCACGAAAATGTGAAACTAAAAGTTTAGTAGCGAGAGTGGCTCACTAGAGAGAAATTTGAACTAGGATATCCCAATAGAAATCATAAATGTGCGGAAACTTCAAGTAGTTGGCTGCTTTCCACCTCCAAGTTGTAAAGTGGGTATGTTGGACTTGCATATCCATCATTTTATTTTTAAATTCTTTTGGATGTATAAGATATTTTTGGCAACAAGCAATGTAGAAGAGAACATGGATGCATGGCCTTAAAAAAGAGACCCTATGTGCATTCAACGCTAGGTCACAACTTTGTTACTTCCACGTGGTAATTTTAAATCATGGTTTCAATTTTATGAGGTTAAAGTTTCTTATAAGGTAGTCTTTTACCGATATTTTTGCCACTCTCCGTCACATCTCTGTCTTTCACGCCGTTCATCTCTCCACACCAAATGCACCAATAGTCCTTGCATCCAGACTTTAGTCCTTTAACTCGCATGTCACAACTGTCTCCAGTTGGCAATCTAGTCTTCCACATTTTTCTTATCATTTTCCCTTTTTGTTTTGCTTAATGAAATGAATTTGTCCGTAGGTTAATGTGTGTGAATTGTTTAAAAAAAGAAAGACTGCATCCTGGTGTGTCCGACGCTTTTCTAATATGAAGGGATGTGCATGGGTCAGGTTGGGTTGGGCACGACCACCAATCGACTTTTAGGTATGTGATTTCCAACCCAAAAACCTACTCGATCAACCCATGTACTGAATAGGTTTTGGCTGTTGGTTTCACGAGTATTTTACCTGTGAAAAATCAATTTATTTATCTTTTTAAAGGAACCACTCCATGAATTGATTGTTTCGAGTTAGGTACAAGCCAGCAAGAAATCAACCCGACTTACTCTTCTAACCTACCCTAGTTTGGCCCCATTTGGCCCCCATTCATTTCAAATTTTAATTGTTGAAATAGTGTTTTTTTTTGAAAAATGTGTGGTTGAAAAAGAATGAAAAGTTTTCGATTTGCATGTAATATTATTTTATGAAGATTGTGTGGTTGAAAATAAGAATGAGAAAAAGAATGAGAAGGAGAATGGGGGCTAAACGGGGGCTAATATTCTCTTTCGACAACAAACTCGAGGTTGAGTTCTTTTTCGGATGTAGGATAATCCTATTTATAATAGGATTTTCTTTGCTTTTTTAGATTAGGATTTCATTTCCTTTTAGGATTTTAGTTTTTAATAAAATCAGATAATTATTTTGCGTATATAAACAGAGACTTTGATTTTGATGAGGACATCATTTTTATTTATTTCTAGTTGGACTTTATTTATGTTTAAGATTTTATTTATGTAATTGAGCTTGTATTGGCTCAAGCCCGTTCTAGTTAGGGTTTCTTTCTTTACTATTTAAACCTAATTTCTTATGTAATTTTATTAGTTTTGATGAATTGAAGAACTTTGGTGGTTTGTTGCCTATGGCTTCTTCCTCCCCTCCTCCTTGATTTCTCCCTCTTTTCCGATTTCTCCCCCCATTCTCTCTGATTTCTCCCTCCCTTCTTGCCGTTTCTTTCTATTCTTTAATTCGTCTTGCATCAAATTCGGTATCAGAGTCAAAACTTGAGTATTTTTCTCTCTTACAATCCAAAAGAATTCCTTCCTGTCATCTTCCTAAGACTCGTTGGAACAACGCAATTTAAAAGATTTAGCGTAAGAGCAGCAATTTTCATTTTTCCAATTTTCTTTCTCTATTAAAAAAAAAAACTGTTTATTGTATTGTTCACACCCGAAAATCAGTTTAGTATTTTTTGCAATTTAAAAAAAGGGAAAAAGGAGCCTATTGCCATCTCTAAATTATTCTGCTGCTCATTCTAAATTAAGTTTTGCTGTTCCTGACCCTAGTCCCAATGCAATACCTTGGGCTCAATTTTCTTTTCTCCAAATCATTAGCCCGTTACTCAAGCCCAATATTCAGTCAAATCTCAATTGACCTAAACCCTATAGCCTTTCCCATAAAAATTACCCAACCCAAAACTTGAATCACTCAGCCCATTACTAAGTTTATTTCTTCCCCAACTAAAACATCGACCCATTAACCAGGCCCACTCCCCAAACATCAACCCTACGGCCCATCCCATATCCATCTTCCACAACCCAATTCCAGTTCATCTCCTACTGCAAGCGCCGATGACGCTACATCTTCGTCGGCAACCCCTCAAATCCCCTCTCGTCGGCATCAATAACCCAGTCCACTTCACTGCAAGCCAATCAATCCGTCACCAGAACATCTTCAACCAAACTCTGCCAAGTCTACTCACCTCTCCACGCCAGCGACAGTCGCCCTCCACTGCGAATTCCGACGACACATCCAGCCGCGAACGTCGGTGACATTGTCGCCTTCACCATACACCCATCGCACACCCGATTCTCCCATGCTGTCTCAACAACTAGAATCGGCCTCCACCTACCTGTCTTCTCGTCCCAGACACCACCGCTACCTCACTTACCACAAGTCAGTGCAAACTACTCAAAATTCACTCAAAACCCGAAGCTTCCGCCACTAACTATAACCCTCGCCAAATACTTTTAGCAAATACAACCCCCACACAAGCCCAACCTCCAACCCAATGCAGACTATTATTGGGTAAAACCGCCTGCAACTTTAAATTACATGCAACCCTATTAACCCAGTCACCACCACTATCATATAGTCACGACCACCAGCAACTCCTGTTGGGTGGAAATAATCACCTAATCCACCACCAATCCATCCAGGGAGTGATTACAGCTAGCAAGCGAGTCTTAGCGATATACACCAAATTTAGCACAAATTATAGTCAACAGGAGCTAAAAATGTTGGACACGAAGGAGGGAATAGAAGCATACTTGAGGCCCACGCATTGGCAATTCAAACAATCGGAATACAGGGAGTCACAATCCAACTACAAGGGGTCACTATTCTTATCTATCTTTGGTTTATACTACTGCTTCATTTTAAAAATGCATCATTTAGATTCTTTGCGTTGCTGTTATCTTAATAATTTTAGCCTTAAACCCCACTTGATCAGAATTATTAAACGAAGCGACTTCCCGTTGTTGCCCACTTGTCAACGTGATTAGAGACTTTACCTAGTGTTTGACCATTTCTTTGCTATTTTACATGTACCAGCAGTATTAGCTTGCTTTAGATTTATTTAATTCCAAAAATTTTAAAAAAAGGGGGTTCAAGTTGTGATTTTTCATCGCTTGCATTTATTGTTCACTGATCTCTCTATTGTGCGTCATTTAGCTGCTAGTACAGTGCATGTATAGTGGTCGACTGGTAGTCTTGTCACTCTAGTTTCAGTACCTAAACATGGATTCTTCACAATTTGATGCACTCACCCGACAAATAGCAGGTATCAAAACCCAGATAATTGTTACTCTTGAAGAGAGTAAGGCCCTCTTTGCTAATTTGAACAATTTTAGGCAAATCCCTCATTCGACTAATGTTAATAATTCTGAAATGCCCCACAATAGATAATATCGTCGTCGACAAGGTGATCAAAAATACTTTCAACACGATCGTAGAGATAGGGATCAAGCTTATGAGCAAAAATGAGGTTATGATCGTCATGGTACTCATTCTCTTCCTCGTTATAAGGAGCGTTTCTTTAGAAACATTAAATTAGATACTCCTTTTGATGGTTGCTTACATCATGAAACTTTTACCCAATGGAACACCCTTCCATAAGGGAATCGGCTAGTAACTGAGTACATTGCTCAATTTGAGGAATTTCGAATGAAATGTCATGTTTGAGGATGAGGTCTTGACTTTGAGTATATTTACACAAGGTCTAAGAGATGAATTTAGGCGTGAGCTTTTCTTTCGAGGTGTCACTACTCTTAGTTACGCTTACTCTTTAGCTCGGGACTACGGGTTACTTATTAGTGCTCCAAAGCGTAGTTACCGTCGTTCACCCATCTCATCAGCACCACCTCGTCATAAGTCTATCATAGAGCCTTACCCGTCTAATGTTCCTCCCATATCGATGCCATCTCCTGCTGTTAAGTCCCATCTAGAACCTTTCCCATTTAAGGCTCCTCCTTTGTTGGAAAATAAGGGTCATGATTTCGAAACTCCAATGACTTCTCGCTTGCAGTACTTCAATTGTAAGGACTTAGGTCACACTTCTCCCAAACGTCCAAGTCGAATGCTATTCGTTGAGGAACAAAATGACGTAATGGATGATCGGTTAGAAGATCAAGTCTATGAACTTGAACTTGAAGAATGTGATGACTTGAACGATATTGATGACACTTATGTAGTATCCGGACTTTTCCTATGAATCTAGGGGTTGAACTCTTTGCTCTCGATACCTCTCAATCAAATGTTGTATGTCGTACCCTTATCCAAACCAGCGGTCTTGATTATTTGCGTAATCATGCCATTTTCGAGGAAAATATTGAGAATTGTGATTTGATCATCCCAAAAATTCCAATTGCATATAACAATTCTGTGAATTGGTTTATAGGTACGAGTTCCATCGAAGTTATTCATGGTTATAAGCTGTGATGCTCAGACTCTTCATTTCGGTCGGAGTACCCGTGTCGACACGACACGACACGACACGGGTATTGGTACGGAATACGGGTCCGATTCTTCTAATTGCAATCGGACTCGGCAAGAAATCTTAAGAAAAATTGAAGATTTACCTTATTGGCGGGAGATGGAAGATGTGTGTAAAGAAATAGCTGGTTAGCGCCAACGATCTTTGGTCCAAAATAAATCTGCTGGCCATCTTCCGG